ACCAAATAAATCTGGCCGCAAGTTCCCACCCAAATTCAAACCTCCACCCTGCCGCCGGAAGCAAAACAAAGGTTGATTGATCCACCACTTGAGCTGTGCCCCAGGGGGCGTGCAATGTGTCTCTCTTTTTTTTTTTTGATATCCAGATATCCCAATTTACACTAGACTAAATCCTGGACCCCCCAAGATCCTTGCCCCTAGAACCTTGGAGGGAGTAAATCGCGGGTTATGTCTCAACTGGATCACAGATTCCCCCCACCACCTGTACACTTTTGCGCACAAGGGATCCTCCTCCAAAGTGATTGCTTCATACCAAATAAATCTGGCCGCAGGTTTCCACCCAGATTCAAACCTCCACCCTGCCGCTGGAAGCAAAACAAAGGTTGATTGATCCACCATTTGAGCTGTGCCCCAGGGGGCGTGCAATGTGTCTCTCTTTTTTTTTTTTTTGATATCCAGATATCCCAATTTACACTAGACTAAATCCTGGACCCCCCAAGATCCTTGCCCCTAGAACCTTGGAGGGAGTAAATCGCGGGTTATGTCTCAACTGGATCACAGATTCCCCCCACCACCTGTACAGTTTTGCGCACAAGGGATCCTCCTCCAAAGTGATTGCTTCATACCAAATAAATCTGGCCCAGGTTCCCACCCAGATTCAAACCTCCACCCTGCCGCTGGAAGCAAAACAAAGGTTGATTGATCCACCATTTGAGCTGTGCCCCAGGGGGCGTGCAATGTGTCTCTCTTTTTTTTTTTTTGATATCCAGATATCCCAATTTACACTAGACTAAATCCTGGACCCCCCAAGATCCTTGCCCCTAGAACCTTGGAGGGAGTAAATCGCTGGTTATGTCTCAACTGGATCACAGATTTCCCCCACCACCTGTACACTTTTGCGCACAAGGGATCCTCCTCCAAAGTGATTGCTTCATACCAAATAAATCTGGCCGCAGGTTCCCACCCAGATTCAAACCTCCACCTTGCCGCTGGAAGCAAAACAAAGGTTGATTGATCCACCATTTGAGCTGTGCCCCAGGAGGCGTGCAATGTGTCTCTCTTTGTGCGAGACGATGATGTCCCTAGAGAAAGGTATTTACATTTTTCATGGCATGACGTTAATTGCCATGAAATTTTTTATATGGGCATTAGTCTGGTGTTGATGCTAGGTACGTGGTGAAAAAGGTATTTATGGTTGATGAACTCCCAAAAAAGCCAAGTAATGTGTTTCCACTATAATTTTTTTTTTCTTTTCAGAGCAAGATTTTTTATATGAGTTGATTCGAAATTCTTAGAATTTGTTAATTCTAAGTTATTATACTTTTTAAAGGGCTTTCAATGGATTGAATTTTACTTTGAATCCGATACAAATTCGATGAAATCAATGGAAGATGAATTTAGGATTTTAGTCTGATAACCCGATCAAGATCCGAATATGATAATGTGTTAACTAAATGAAGCAAATATGGATATAGGTCAATCCAATCCGATAACAACACGATCCAATTTTCTATAATAATATAATATATTATATATATTACCATATAATTTATTGTATATAATTTTATTTTATTTTTTTCATTTTGAAACTTGTGTTAATATACTTTATGATTTTAATGAAAAATGTCAAACCTATCAACTTTCAATATAAAGACAATATATATTATAATAAATTTAGTATTAGATTAAGAATCCCTTCTTTTCAATAAAAAAAGAACAGGTGTAAAATATTTTGTTGGATCGAATATTCGATAACATAGGTAATCTAGATATAACAATCAAATATTCGTTGGATTATTAGATCGGATCGGATCCATGAAACATTATTATCGGATCATATTGGATATGGACAGATCAAGTCTATATACGATCCATTTATAGCCTAACTATATGTGGTGCAACATGTTAATTTTCTGCATTAAGAATTGTCACGGTCAAAGTTTACCATTTTTTTGAATTGTCGTGATCAAGAGCCGTAGAAGAGTCATCAGAAGTTTTGGTTTTCTTCTCCTTAAGAAAGATGGTCAAATGTATTCTTTAAAATATTTTCAAAAAGCTCTCTATTTTTAAAAAGCATGTTATGCAATTTAGAGAGTATTTGTAAATTTAAGAATAACAAAATTTATCCATCGTGCTTTTATTTTTAACACTTTTACTCTCATTTTATATTCACTAGCTTCCTTCCAAATTATTATATTATTTTCCTATATTGATATTTAAAATAATTTAAATACATTTAATTATAGAGAGTGCATTTGACTCTACAAATTATATAGAGGATCCATTTGAAGAGTCAAACTCACTCTCTATTTTAAAATATTAATTTGAATTGTCTTGTTGTGTATAATATTAAGGGGTAACTTTTTAAAATAGAGGACATCTTATGTTTAAAGACCTTCTCAAAGATGCTCTTGTCCACAAAATATTTTGAATCTACAATTTACTACTTATTATTCAAGCATTCTATAAAATCCATGGCTAATAAACACTACAAAATGAGTATTGCGTATCTTTTGTTTTAAAAAATCCACGGCTAATAAACACTAATTAATTATATTGACGAGTTTCATATCTTTGCCACATGGCAAATTGTCATTCACCAATTTTTTTCCTTAAAAAAAAAAAAAGAAGGGTTTTTCGTCCACATTATTTTGAAAACAAAGGGAATGTCAAAAAAATAAAAATAAAAAATATTCTAGATCCCAAGTACCAACGCATCTATAATAAATAAAAAATGCTAATCTTTAAAGATAATATTTTCGCAAGAATATATACTCGAAAAAAGCTATTTTATTCTTTTCAAATATCTTTAATATGTGAACACTAAGCACAGTCGAATTCACGTTTTTATCAATGATTTGATATAATTTGGAGTGAATTGTACACGTGTATGCTTTAATATTGAATCCCATCGTCTCAAAATTATACGAGAATTATTAAAGATTATATATGTGAATGCTATTCTTGATTTTTGCATAGAGAAAAAGTGGTGGTGCATATGGCCGGCAAGTTAGTCATGATGTCGTAATGTGAATACTAAATTGAAATGCGCTTCGACGATAACAATGATACTGATACTTTCAGGTTGCAGAGTGGAAGGAACTGTAGACAAAAATTGAAGATGATTAGACTTCCATTTTAATATTGGTGCTCCACTTTATTATTCTTGTTTTTGGCATTTTTATACAATTATTTTTGGGTTTTCTGCTCAAAGAAATGAAATGAAGTTCGTGAAGTAGCTCAAATTTTATGTTGATTATTGTCTTTATATGTGAACGATGTGAGATTTTATCTATGTTAAAGAATAAATCTTGTATAGATAAAAGATAAAATCAATAATCACGATGTAAGTCTTAACTACTCTTCGTAGTAAGATTAACCTTTTAAAATGATTTACAATATTATAGATATGATATCATATTCCATTGAGGTAAGTTAGCATCTATTGAGCTTTGAGATCCAATGCTTTTAAAATGACAATCTATTAAGATACGCAATTCAAAATCTTATTTATTAATAATTACTAAGTGATGTGACACAACCTTGACAAATGTGGAATACAAATTTGAGCCCCATTTTCTTCAAAAAAATGCATTTTCAAATAGTGTTGTGATGGAAAATGTGTAGTTAAAAAATAAAGATAAGTTTTGGGTTTGCTTGTAATATTATTTTATTGAAAAATGTGTGATTGAAATGAAGTCAAATCACTGTTGAAAAATATATTTTGATGAAAAAATGGAGCTCAAACAAGGGCTAATTTTATATCATGTTTGCCCCCATTTTGTGGAAAAATTAATGGGTGGAATAGTGTTTTTTTGAAAAATGAGTACTTAAAAAGGAAGGAAAAAATTTCGATTTACGTGTAATATTATTTTATGGAAGATTATGTAATTGAAAATAGGAGAGAGAAAAACGAAATATAATGGAATGAAAATTAGTGGGGGTCAAACGTGGCTAATATATAATATAAAACTATCCAATTAAATGATAGAAATTCTAGTGTTCTAACCTCAATCGATCAAACAACTTAAGGTTAAAGTAAATCCCTTGAAGCTAACCTTAGGTGTTGCCAAACCAGATACTTAAAAGCTTCGAGCACTCATTCTTAGCCGATTCGAACCTTAATTTCTTGAAGCATTAACAATAACTTCTTATACAATATTATTGTACTCGACCATAACAAAATAGATTATCATCAGGTGGTTGTTTGACAAAAAAATTGATAAAAGTACTAACAAATTACGTTCAAAGTTTATGTAACGTGTAATTGAAAAGTTGATGATCGAGTATTTATATGAATTTGTGTTGCCATCTTTCTTTACCCAAAGACAAATAGAATCAACTTGAATTTAAAATCAGTTGATCAAATCGATCCACTAATCATGGATAGTCACACTCTGCACTTATTGGCCTGTGTCAGCTGGATGGGGCTACTAGGTTGGGTAGGGCAGACCCTCAACAGGGCCATTGAGGTCGATGTTACCTCGCCTAACATTCCTCGAATCTTACTAAAGCATCTGAATTAAGAATGCAAAAAACTTGCTCACTAGTATCAATATCAAACCCACAAACACAAATCTTGATTATCTACAAAAGTTGAGTACAAGTGCGAATCTGCCTTCCGAGTGGCTTGTTTATCTTGAAGAGATGATAAATGAATAAGTACTCGATATCTTCTATAAACAATTAGATTGATCTCTGAATATTAATTAAATTATATAATATTATCAATTCTCAAAGAGCTTAAATGATTCAACCAGTAGGGTTTCTTTTGTTTTCATGACTCAGATGCCTTGTTCGGTTCTGCTACGTGTATTCCATCTTCTTTTATCTCGTCAGCCTCCAAAAACCCTCCAAAGAATAGATATTTTATGTAAAATGGATAATAGAATTTACTTTATTTCATATTCCATCAGATTCCACAGGGCAGAATTAAGCCAAAATAGCACCCACCCCCCTCTTGCTATGATTCTCAGAACATGTATATATACACGAGATATAGCTTATAGGTATTCTAAGTAAGAGTTAATAAAACTTTCTCTTACTGCACTTAATCACATATTTCCCTTACCTTGTGAGAAAATGAAGAGTACAATGTGTTGTGAAGGATTTTTCAAGAACTCCAAGCCTTATCTGGCTATGATCTCCCTTCAGTTTGGTTATGCAGGGATGAACATTATAACTAAGATTTCTCTTAATGGTGGGATGAGCCACTATGTTTTGGTGGTTTATCGTCACGCCATTGCAACGGCTGTCATAGCCCCGTTCGCTTTCTTCTTCGAGAGGTACATACATATTGCTGGTTTAATAAAACTATGCTTAAATTTTATCTATTTGTCAAACTTCAATTTTAACCACATATTCTTGAGACCCACAAATTTTTATTACTCTTAAGGGTCATCTTTATTTCATATTGCAGGAAAGCTCAGCCAAAGATAACATTCCCAATATTCATGCAAATTTTTGTTCTTGGCCTTCTTGGGTTAGTCCAATTTTTTGTTCTTCCTTATGTTTACATAATGATTTACATACAAATGATATGTCAAAAAGAAAGTGGTAAATTTTTTTTTTATTATTTGGTTGAAGAATTTTGGACTCAATCATATCTCACCATATCATATATAAATCGTTGTGTAACTGCTTATGCACAAGTAACATTATTCTTTATTTTTTTATCTCTTCATATCCTATATTAATTTTTGTTATTTCACTTCCCTTTTACGTATAGGCCGGTCATCGATCAGAACTTTTACTATGCGGGGTTGAAGTTAACCTCCCCAACATTTTCTTGTGCAATGAGCAACATGCTTCCTGCCTTGACATTTGTCATGGCATTTATATTCAGGTTAATTTTCACTGAATTCATTATAAAAAACAATTTTTAATGAAATTTTTGGAAGATGAACTAATGATGTATTTGAATTTTTTGAACATTAAAGGATGGAAAAAGTAGACATAAAGAAGGTTATATACCAAGCAAAAGTATTAGGAACAATTGTAACAGTGGCTGGAGCCATGTTAATGACCTTATATAAGGGACCAATTGTTGAGATGGTTTGGTCCAAACATGTTCATCCACGAGGATCTAGTGCCACTTCTTCTAAAGAAACCAGTGATCGGGACTGGTTTATTGGATGCATTCTTCTCATTATCGCCACCCTAGCATGGGCATCTTTGTTCATTCTACAGGCAAGTATTTGAAAATTTACGAACCTGTAACTTAACCTTTTAAATGAGACGATTTTCTAACGAATTGAAGGGATCCTTAAAACAGAAAGTCGCACTGAAAACGTACGCGAATCACCAGCTCTCTCTCACCTCAATGGTTTGCTTCATGGGAACCATACAAGCTATTGCTGTTACTTTCGTAATGGAACACAAGCCTTCAGTTTGGCAAATTGGCTGGGACATGAATCTCCTTGCTGCAGCATATGCTGTAACTCTCTCTCTCTCTCTCTCTCTCTCTCTCTCTCTCTC